TGGTCAATTAACCTTTCTTCACCAAGGGTATTTTATATGTTAGTCAAATTCAAGTTATAGTTTAGGCGATATAAACTTATAATATCTAAAAATCTTAAGCGAGTCAATTGTATTTTACATTGTGCTACTGGTTTCACTGATTAATATATTTTCATCTTTGTTATTTTATATAGTGTTTATTAATTTTAGACTCAATTTTTGTTAACGTATATGACTAAGTATTGTGAGATTCCAATCAAAAGGTTTATAATACTATTGCTGCCGTGACTCTTTTTAAGTTTGTAGACAAGTAACGATAAAAGAAAATATTTAATAAACCTTAACTGAAATGTATGTAGTTGTATTTCATATATGTGTTTTTTTTTAATCTTCATAACTATATGTGTTGAGAGTCAAATATAAATTATAAAGCTAGACTTTTACTTTATTGATTTAAAATTTGAAACTTGCGTGGCCGCGTACTTAGGAGTTAAGAGCTTGATTATTATTTTAATTAAACTGTAGGAAAATGATTTAGTCTATAAGATTACTAGACTAGAGACAAAACAAATAATAAAACAACATTAGTAGTTAGAGTTCAAGAACCAGACAGAAATAACAGATTAAAGAATAGACCAATAAAGTACATCCACCAAAGACCTCATATAAAAATACTATGTATAATTTTTCGTGGCATAAAAAATCTATTATTGTTCTTCTTCTTTTTTCTTTTAATAATTAAAACTTAAGATCAGAATTTTATGAGAAAAGTAAGACTTAATCTTTATATCACTGACGTCCCTTCTGTTCTTCATTTCTCTTTGACGGCACTTGCTTCACAATTTGTTCAATCACGAATTGGGATAACAATTAAAACTTAAGTCCAAACTATACGAAAATAAAAATTTAGGTTTGAAAAGTAGAATAATAATATGTTTCTTTTTAAAAAAATGCACTCAAAGATACTTATTAATAGCCTATGAGATTTTTGTTTTGTTTTTGGTTTAAATTAGCCTATGAGATTATGACAATAAAACTTATTAACAATACAGTAATACACAAAATTTTGGTCATCGGTTCACTCATTTTATTTGGTATTTGCTTCAAGAACCATTAACCTTAAGAAATCTTTCAAATATTCTTTATTTTTTTACCGATTTCCATTCAAATATTTGAATCCCCGTCGTCTTTCAGCCGTCGTTTAGCCATAATTTCTTATTTATGGTAATCCATTGCTAAATATAGTTTTTCAGGCTTGGTTTTATGGTTAAATCGCAAATTTCGTGTTGTAGTGCTTTATCTATCTCAGTTATATCACAGAAGTTTTTTTGTGCTGAAATGAAAGCTCTTTTAATTTTTGTGCTAGTTTAAAGTTTTATAAATCGTCCAATATCTCTTCGGTATCTCCGTATCTCTTCG